ACAAGACCGTGGTGGAGAATACCCATTCTGATTCGGGTCAATTCAAAGCAGAACTCTGTGTCCTTGGCTTATCTCGAGTCCTGTTTCTTTCAGAAAGATCCTGTTTGATTTGGTAAAAGAAAGTGTTGATGTGATTGGATATGTTTTATGAAAATTGGGTTTTGAGTGCTACTTGCAAATTTCAAAGCTATTAGAGGAATCACTGGGGTGTTATTTCAGCCAGTAAAGAATAACAGCTTCCAGCACTCCCTCCTTCTGATTAAAAGATGAAGGAATAGGTGGAAGAGGAGAAGAAAGGACCTTTCTTATGCACATGTACATAGGTACTACCCTGCCCAGCCCAGCTGGCTTTCAGAGGTAGCAGATCTGTGTGCATGCATGTGCATGTTTTATAAATGGTTTGATCTTACCTGAGCATCTGTGGCTCTGGTGACATCCCATTTGTTCACACTTCTGTAGGCTTCTCAGTAAACTCGCTAGATAGAATCATAGATAGATGACAGTTCATTAGATTAGTTGACAATGCACATCCAGCCTTTCCACCCTCCTCCCCGAGCCCTAAAATGAAAATAAAGAAATTGCAATGGCAAGAAGGAAAAATACTATGCAAATACCTCTGCAAGCACTGACACATTTAAACTAATGCAGTTCCTAGAATCACAGCAATAAATGTGCTGTCAGGGGCATCACCGTTACTCCTGTGACATGACCACCTTGCAACAGCAGCAGTGCCGGCTGTCAGAGCGTTACCTACGTAGTCCTGAAACATTTTTCTATCACTGTAACTTTTGAGACTCATGATGCTTTGAAAGGCCCCTTTTCCCCTTGCAACTCTTCAGGTGGCTTTTTGATACCTGCGTATGTCACCTTGCAAAACAGGCGGTTCAGGAAGAAACTTTCCAGACATGGCCATTACTGAGATCAGTTGTTTTAGGAAATGTTTTTTGATGAAATGACTTAACAAAGTTTGCCCAACTTCCTGCATGGCAAACGCTTTTTCCTCCAACTATTACAAAAATAGCAACGAGACCAACCCCAAAGAACCCTTATAAAAGGATTCAACCCTTTCAAGCAGTTGTTTTGATTTCTTAAAATTGCTGCCAATAATAATTTACAAATCCATTCCCCAGAGTTATATCAATGCAACAGCATCATGATAAAAAACCCAACCCCCACAAAACAGACTTTCCATCATTTTCTTTAATGCACAAACTTTCTCATTCAACTGTGAGTCTTCGAGCAGTCTGTTCACTTTGAACATCAACCCTGTGCTCTGATGCAATGTCCAGGCAGTATGGTTGAGGTTTAAAAAGCTTTTATAAGAGCTCGGAAACACCCCCCTCAAGCCCCCTCTTGGGATTAGTGGCTTTATTAATATTGGTTAACACTTATTTGGAACAGTCTTCCATTAAGCTTTATTCTGGTCATTCTTCCAATCTCCATTTAAATTCCGTTTTCCTCTCGGTTGGCTACCTCATAAACAAGACACATCGCCAACTGGAACACGCAAGTGGGGTTGAAAGCAGCACTGCTGACCTCTGCTCCTTTATACCCCCTGCAAGTTGGAGACATATCAAACTCAGTGCTTGGAGCCTGGGAAGTGGGAATCCTGAACTGCTTGGAAACTCAAAAGAGCCAAACTTCAGGGTATGAAGCCATTGGGCTGGCTCACCGAGCTATAACTGTGCATACATTTTTTGTGGGTTTGTTTTTTTTTTTTTTTAATCAGCCCAGCAAGCCAGACTTACATGCTCTTACTTCATCTGAGAGTATCTTTTGCTGTAAAAAAATGTGCTGAAAACCGCGCAGCTGATTAGACAATTTTACTCAGCATTAACAAGGCAAGCAAAATCTCATCCAGAATGTCTAGCCTGATAGTTTCAATTTCTAACTAGACATACAGAGGAGAAAAGGTTGGGCATGCAAAATTGCTTACAGATGTTGGCTATGGGCAGCACTATTTTGATTTTACGTGCCCAAAATTGTGTTCCTGGAGACTGCACACTCAGCAATAACAAAATAAAATATGGAATCTGGAAATCTTTGTTGCAGGTGGGGGAGGCACCATAAAGAAAGCCAAAAAAATGAAGGAGAAATGCAGAGGCCGTGTGAGCGGTGGGTGAGAAGGATCCCACTCCCCTCCCCTGCCACGACCCAGTGCGTGCAGCAGCCACTGCTGGAGTCAACACACAGCGATGGGTACCGGGGGAGGCATCTCCTGTAGCACAGCTTCTCCCTGCTTTTCACAGCAGAGACCAAACACACTAGCTCTGGGCCTTTTTTCAGAATGCAATCACAGGTGTAATTGCCGATGGCTGTTCCCTTTTTAGGGTCAACCACTGTGTGTGGTTGTCTGCGGAATCAAAACTGTATTTGAGGGTTTTTTTAACCTTCAGTTGTGAGGTCAAGGCTTTCTGCCTTGTCTTTTCTGCACCCGTAAATGTTTCTGTCCTCAGCTTGTAAGGCAGTAAGTCTACCCACACAACACCAACAACTTACATGTTGCCAGTCTGGGGAAAGAAGGCACACGTTTAAAAGAATCAGCAGCCTAGGTAGGATATAATGTCACCGAAGAGTTTCACTGTAACATTGTAGAGTACAAAAATGAAAATATAAAGTGCATTTTAAATGATTAATGTACAAAAGCTGACCTCTTCCAGTGTGCATTAATCAAGAAAAAAATGCACACTTCCTATAGTGGTTAATGTTGCGGGTCCATTATTCAGCTTTGATAATGTGCATAAAAATGCTCAATATGACGATGAGTTGGGGTAGCTGAGAATTTAGGATGGTGGCAAGTTTGTTGTAGTATTTGGATTAGCATTCTCCTACATCTTGACAGCTTCTTTTCTTCATTTCACAAGCGTTAATAAAATCTAGCTTTATCCTCTTTGATTTTTGGTTATTTTTTCTTTTTTTTTTTTTTTTAAACAAAACAATTAAAAAATACCTGCTCAAACAAATACTACCAGCATTCATTAGTCAGGATGGTTATATGTAAAAGAAATGATGCCAGATAGTAACAAATCCAAGAGAAGTTTATTATGAAAATGGCACCTGCGGGATGAAAAAAAATTAAGTTACATAAAGACAACCATGTATGACATGTATGAGAATCTACAAAAGTATAAAAAGAACCCTGTTGTAAATGAAGTATGTACATTTCTGATTTGCAGCATTATCAATGATCAATGAAAAAAATGTTTCAAATAAGCCAGGCACTCAAGAAGTTAGATTCGGTTAGCTTAACACAAAATAAATGTACCATAGCTGTCACTTTTTAACATTTTAATTTTTTTTATATTGTAGAGTTGGTAACACTGCTAAGATTTATACGAACAGAATCCCTTTCCCCATTATTCAGCTACTTGGCACCAGTCTCCTCATAAAAGATTTCATATATTTGTACAAGAAATAGTTAAAAACACAGACACAGTCTTCACAGGTAATGAAGTTTTTTTTTTCATTTTGTAATTTTAAACACTATGGATTTAGACAGCAGCTGTGATTATCTGTTAGTTTAAATCACCAGAAATCATTTTGACACAACACAGAAACATTTATAAAAAAAAAACCCAAAACAACAACAGCTGTCTAGCTGTTTTTTGTAGCTGATAGGTGCACTCCTTTGATTGTTCCATAGCTAGAGTAGAGCTTCCAAAATTAAACTTTGAACTTCCCAATCAGCTTTCTCGCCTTTTTTAGACCCACTTAAATCCTTCCAATGGAACCTTTAAAAGATCATTAATTAAATTTGTGGCATCCAATTCCCTTTTCACTATTACTCCACCGTGGCTCGGACCTACTTCTCAAATTCAAAGCTACCGCAGGAATCGACTCGGTGCGGTGAGTGATCAAAAATCCAAAGGACAGCTGAGTTCCTGTATTAGCATTGCACACATAAGCAAATACATATGACAATCCTAAGCTCAGTTTCCTTTTGAAACGACGCTGGTCGCCCTTTGAAAGCATTTCCTCTCTCACTGGTAATTGCTCTACGTATTACTCCGCCAGCCTACCTGGGAGAAAACCAAAGAAATGCACCCTCCGCTTACAGTTCGAGCACAAGGGACTCTGGGAATGTTAACAACTGAGGCTATATGGCATCAATTTGCTTAATATATCTGAGCATTACTCCGTAGTGCATTGTGGGGTACACTGGAAGAGTAAGTCATACCCAGAATTCCTCTGTGGGAAAAATGGCTCCATTAACCTTGAGCTAGTTAAGAGTCTTTTATCTCTGAGAGTGAAGAAGAGAGAACGAGAGAGCAAGAGAAAGAGAGAGGGGAAAAGTGTGGAGGGGGGGCGAGAGGAAGGGGGGACGAGAGAGGTTTGAGAATACACAACAGCAAAGCAACAGCAGAAATTAAAAGGTATACAGACAGTGGAAGCAGCATAAGGTGACATTACAGAGGAAGGCCACCACACAAAAACCACTAACCCCCAAGAATCACTGGTTCACTAGGACTGCAGGAATGGGACTTTACCACTCCGGACTAGAGATAAAGCACAGAGAAGACAAAGGACAAAACAACTACATTAGCTTAGTATATACTGCATATAGTAACACACATTGAAACTGCAATGGGACTGACAGCCAAGGACACTTACACATTGTACACATTACAGTTCTCACATCTGTTATTAGATGCCTTAACAAACAGCTGCCAAAGATGGAGTGGAAGAAGAATTTATATTTGACAGTCATTTGGAGTGTTTGACACTACACTGTGATTTCTGGCAACAAAGACAAAATAGGAGATTTCTTTTCTTTTACTTAATGTGCAGTTTTCAGTTGTAGTTATCTATTTCAAGCTTATTAACCCATTCTTTAGTTTTAAAACATATTGGTTTCAACACTAGAAATAAGGAAAAAATAACAAGAAATACCCAAATCAAAGAACAAAAAGAAATTTACAACCTTCCCTCTATAATATTAAATGAAAAACAAAACAAACATGTTAAATAGTTTTTCTGGTTTTTGTTTTTTTTTTTTTTTAACTCCGAAGTGTTATTTGACGTTGTAAAATTAGCCTCAGTTACACTGAGAAAAAAATAAAGCAAAACAATATGCACCTAAGAAACTGCTCCTCGCGTCAATTAAATTGAGTTTTTTGTTTTTAAGCGCTTTTTGAAAAAGGCTTCCTGACCCATTTAAATTTGATGTGAGGCTATGCTTGTTAGTTTGGAGGTAAAAAATTTTAAGTCCTGCAGCAAATGTTAATGAGGGCTTTTGTCTTAACTAACCAAGGAGACTGCAGCACCCAACTATAAACCAGTACGGAACACATTCTTTCCAAAAAACCCAGCCCACAAGCTGCATATTGTATGAAGACATTACAGATTAATAAATGATAGCACCATGGTTTTAGAAATTAAGTTAAAGTTTCAGTAATTAACATTTAGTCCAACTTTTTAACATTCTAGTCACAGGCCAGAAATTAACTTTTTAAGAACCCAAATTATTTTATGTGCAAGTAAGAAAATCTTAACCATAAAAAGAGAATTAAACTCTGCATAAAATTCTAAAATACTATCCCCTATTTTAAAGGAATTAGGAACAAAAACCCCTTTTCATTTGACTTAGTCAAACAGGGCACATTGTTTATGCTTGTCTCTTTTAATCTTGATCATATCAAGATCATTTTGAAGTAAAACCAATGGTTGTCACTTTAAAATCTCTTTACCACAACACTGAGTATTCTATGGCAGAGGCATACACATATTAAAGGCATCTTAATAAAGATGCAAAGGAAAAAACACACATCTTAGAAGAAGACAAAATGGCAGGCAACTGGTACTTCGACTCTCTGAAGGCAAAAATAAAAAAATATCTTTACATTAAAGAATAAGTCAAGTTAAAGAGAAAGGGAATGAAATGGGGAGATCGTATTGAGAGAATAAGCTGACCTGCTCAAATTCAAAGTGCTAGAATTAAAGGTCTAAATTAAAACATAGTCTATGCCTCAGAGTATAACACTGAACACAGTATGTGGTCATATTTCAATCCTCTTTCCGTTCCAGAGTCTGTGTAGTGTGAATGCCATTGCTGTACACAGGAAATGGAAGAGTGGAAAAAAGTCCTTCGGCAGTTGTGAACACATTCCCTGCAGGCATTTGGGTCAGACTGGCCCCGCTCACAGCACTTCCAAACGGTCCCGACATATTGAGTCGGTGAACGTGGTGGTAGAGCATTTCCATCGGTGTTTTAGGATCCAGCCCAAAGCTGGGGCTGTTAACATCAACAAAGTTAACAGCGTGGGTGTTGGGGAGGAGGTTGCCCTGCATGGCTAAAGTAACTTCAGCTGGAGCATACCGAATAGTGCCAGTGGTGTAGACCCTCTGAGCAGCAGTGCTGGTCGCAGCAAGGGTTCCCGTTACCCTGTGAACCAAAGGAAGCACCACATTGCCTGCTTGTAACCTCTGAAGGGCTTCCAGATCCCCAGTGTACAACAAAGAGTTGGACGCTGTGGGACCTCCTGGATGTTTGTCCCGTGGAGATGCTGAAAGCGGGGGTGACAAAGGGTCAGAGGACACAGGAGCCAAGGCCGAGTTGGATGAGGTGCTGAACTGAGTTTTACGGCTGGCAGTATTTTCAGTCCCTGGTGGGGTGAGAACGGAGTCTGGAATGGAGACATGTAAACTACTGCTGGCTTGGGGGGAAGGGAAGTGCTCGGAGCTGGGGGGCTTGGTCATACTGTAGGGTGATTCATTCCTTGAGATTTCCCTGTTGGGTGGGTAATTCCAAATACTGCTATCATTATCAAAATTGATAGGTTCTGAGATTTCTGTTTTAATTTTGAGCACTGAGGCACTGTTTGGCGACGAGAGCAGCTGGGGCTGGTCCACCAAAGCTGAGTCAAGTCCATTTGGACTTGAGGTGCTTGACAGCCTTCTCCGGGTCATGCTGCCTCCCTTTTGCTTTTTTCTCCTCTTCTTCCTCTTTTGATGTTTGCTGGAAGACTGGGCATTTACTTCCCCTGCACTGTCTGAGTCCTTGGCACTGTCCGAGGTCAGTGATTCACAGTTCTGCAACCGCAAGTCTGACTCACTCTCAACATAGCGCTCCACCTTGATCTGCATAGAGCCAAGAGTGCCAAAACTGTCCTCAGGGGCCTTTTGATTCTCAAAGTCAGAGTTTTCAAAGCTGTCATCACTGTCCCTGCTGTCCTGGTTGCTGGAGCTGTTCCCGTCATCATTACAGTTCATTTCGTTATCCGACTGATTTCCTGACTTTTTCCTATCGGATTCAGGGTCTTCACTGTTTTCTGACTGGTTTCCTTTCTCATCTGACTTTGAGTTCTCATTGTCCTCTGGAGCAAAAGGAAAGTGAAACAAACCGTTAGCAACAGGAACACAATATTATAACCCAAGTCCAGATTTCTACCTACCAATGAGATCTGATTGCTGCAAACGTTTTTGGCAAAAGGCGTTCTTTTCTGTAGCGCCACAATTTTTTGCAATTTTGTTTTGGGAGAGTTTGGCTCACCCTGAATCTTTCTGACTCAGGACTGTTAATGCACTAAAAGCCAATGCCATACGGCCTGCACCTTGACGGAGGGGTGGCCTTTTCATCTGCTCTCTGGACAAGAACCATTTTGACAACTGTGAGCACAACGGCATTGTGGCTGTGTCATCCAAAGAGGAGTCAGTGAACAATCCCATTATGACCGTTATGTTCTGGTGATTGTTCTTGCACATCCGTGTTCTCCTACAGTGGGCAAGCATCCCGGTGTAGCACTATTTACTAATGAAGACTCTAGTCCTCTCATCTCATTTTCCTCTCACCATTGCTGCTTTTGAAGCGGCATAGTGTCTCTGACTTCAGTGGAATTATTACTGATTTCCTCCCATGTGAGAGGAGAAGCAAGTCATGCAGGTATAAATCTGAATGAATAAACCAGTTATAGCAATTTTGTTACGTTGCTAGACTGTCTTCTCATATTCCCCTGAAGGGCAACAAATAACAATAATAAAAGAAAAAACAACAGAAAAAAAATTCAGGCAATGAATTAAACTCTTGATTGATCCAAATCGTCTAAGGGCCATTGAAATAGCCCAGCTACAGCACTGAGAAGCTGTCACTCTTCTTGTCTGAATTCATTTAGTTGTGGCTTAGATTTTTACCTAATTCTAATACGGATGAGATAAACACTCTAGCCCTGGACTCAGGCAGCCAAAGCAGCTTTGAGAATGAATACTCTCCATTATCATACTATGTTTGAAGGGGTCATGGAAGGCTTCAGGAGACCCTGTCTTTTACAGACCAGCCAGAAATCTTTTGTTGTGAAATAAAAGATGTTTTTTCACTCATCAGAGCCAAGTACTACCCTTTTCAATGTACTCATTTTAAGGGGAGAGAGGAAGGCCCAGTTTTCCTCTAAAGATTGGTTACTCCTGGAGCCATGTCAATACCAAACAGTTTCCCAGAAGCGCTGGAGAAGGTGGGCTTGACAGGGAAGCTGCCTGAGGATTCAGGGCAATGCACTTCAAGTCACTTAGTGGGACTTTTGCTTGAGTCAGCAGCAGCAGAGAGACCCTCCCTTTTGAAAAGTAAACCTCACAGAAGCTAAGTAACAGCCACAACCCCCTAAATCTCATCCAGCTTTTTGTTCCACCTAGGGCTGAATTTCTCATACTTTTTTTTTTTTCTTTTCTTGAAGATGCTTTCTTTTAAGCCCATGGTTTCTAGCTGGTCAAGAGTGGGCTTAGGGTGAGGTAGTCTAAAGCTGCACAAAATTTGCCTGGGATTTTATCAGAGCTTGAACTGAACATGTTGTTTTCATCCAAGATGCTGTTCCGATTTCGGGTCCTTTGGCATTTCTATTTAATTCTTTTGTATGAAACAACCCCTTGTCTCTGCTGTCTTCCAAGACTACCAGACACCTCCTTCTGGTTCTATCCACCTTTGAAGAATGCTCTCTTGCTCTGCATCAGCCTTAGGAGTCATGAATGAACATGCACTTCTCACCTGGAGAAACTTACAATGCACATGGGAAATGCAAACTGTTCTCCACATGTGTGTTATTTGGCTATTTAGGAACATGACAGCATACGGGAAGCACTGGGAATAGGTGAACAGATGCCAAATGATGGTGGGCAACAAGCCTGTATGTGTGCCTAATGTTGACTTCAACCACTAAACCAAGCTGTCAAAGGAGAAAAAAATAAAGGCAAAAGATCAAAGGGAACAGCCATATAATATAACATTAAGGCCTGATCCTCTTCTTGCTTTTACTTGATTTATGTCACTGCAATCCATTTTCTCCAGATTTTTTTGGTTGTTATCATAGACATGAGAGAAAAATCATCTATCTATCTATCTTGCATACTACAGCAGAGTAACATCCTTAGTTCTTGAGCCACAGGAAACCATGCTCCTTTCAAAGCCAGATGATCTGTACCTGTGCCTAGGTAACCACTTTCAAAACTGATGGGGAATGTGTGAACCATCTGTGCACTGGACCATCTGCAGGACTAATTTACACATTGAGTTTGACAAGTACATTTAGCTTTTAAAAAACAGCTGAAGTCCTAGTCTTAAAGAGCTTAGAAACAAGTGCTTGAACCCATACCTTCTAATAAAATATAATTCTTTTAACTCAAGAAAACCCTCAAATTTTGCAATCTTCACTGCCCCCTAGCGAGACTCTTCAAAAATGTGTTTATATCAGGAAAAGGGTCATAAAAGATTGACAGTAGGGACTTATCTTCAGAACATATGCCTACTATGGAAAGTTAAGAACAAGAATTATATTCAACAGTTACAATCCCAGGTCCTCTCCACAAGGCACAGTACCTGTTCATGAAGCTTAGCTGGGAAATCAAATATTTAATTCAGTGCAATGTAGGCAAGGATGCATGCACAGAGTGAAGAGAAATACTGAGGAAATGAAGATGCTGCAGAAATGCTGAGGTCATGAAAAGATTTTGCTAGTATTTTTCAATTGAATTTTACAGGATTTTTGTTTTTGTTTTTGTTTTTTTTTTTTTGCTAAAATGGAACAATCCTTGAGAAGTAAGAGCAACTGGAAAGCCAACCACGTCTCTCATGATATGAACCTTTTGTGGGTGTAAAGGCACACCATGTGTGTTACCTGAGTTGTCCTTTGAGTCCGATTCAGAGTCAGAGGTCTCCGAGGATTCTGAGGTTTTCTCTGGCAGATGAGGAAGTTGTGCAATATCCATTGGAGTGTCCTTGTACTCTGGGTTACTGAAGAGGTGACAGCAAATATAAACACAATTGGATGATTTGCAGTTTCATGGGTTTTCCCTCTTTCATATCAAAGTTCAGGAACAAAGAACATAAGTAGGAAGAATAGCAGAGCAAACACAGAAACATACATTTTCGGATTCCCAGAGCTTCACAGCAGGGATTTTATGAAGGTTTATTTTAATACTGCTGTCAAATACTTATATTGACCAGGTACTAAAACTCGTTTGATTTTAGTGAAGTTTTAGAGCTATCAAAGCATTCTTACAGAAGTGGGACACCATGGCTCGTGCAATATCTGACAGTAAAGCTACACTGTGTAATCATCCAACAACAAAATATCTCGATTTCGATCCCATTACTGTGCCTGGAAGGACAGAGAGGGTGTTTTAACTTTTCCAATCTGTTTCTCTCCCACTGGCGATGTCTATTAGAGTTATCTCTGTAACAATGTTCTCTATCAACCTTGCCGGAGCCCTTTCAATACCTGTTTTTCTCAGCATTCCTGTTTTCCACACTTTAATCAAACAGACTATACATAAGGTTAGTAAGAAGGTGCTCAGTTAGGGCTAGAGAAAATGACCACTGCTTAAAAGACTTTGGCCCAAAATAGATAAAAAGGGCTATATATTTTTAAAATACTGCACACATGCATCCACATCACCAAGAAACCAAAAGCAACCACTCTAACTATATGACAGATGCACATGTGCATGTTAAGATGCATATGTTAGGGATAAAGAACTGTCAACACACCCATTATAATCATATCTTCATCTGCTCATGTGGTGCTCACCTGTGACTTGTTAGCAACGAACATGACTGCAATGTAAAAAAGCTACACTACCAGAGAAACTGAAAAAAACCCAACCCCAACCCGATGCTTTCTTTTGGTTTGTACCTTTCAAAATGTGTTCCTTTCCCAAATCTGTGCAAAGGCAGGGGAACAGAAACAGCTAGACATAAGTGGCATAGGAATGTTGAAAATAAACAAAGTCTTCAATCGTTTTTGAATAGGTGAGCATTTCTATGCAGTTCAAATTCCAGCCCGGTGATAGAGCAGAAAATCCACAGTCCTGCATAGAACAATATGAGGCAGCACTGGGGGTGACTGACACACTATCACAATGACAGTGTGCCCATATTCAGCCTATTACAGGGTACTGTGAAAATTCAGAGTTCACACAGTTCATTTTGAAATGCCATTCTTATGATTATCATCTTTATGGTTTTGTCCTGACAAAGTGACTTTATTCTGTTGCATCCCAGCACAGTCCCGAAATTTGCCCCCTCCAAGCAAAAGATGTTTGAGGGCTTTCACACTGTGAATAACAAGTTGCTAGAACAAGAACAGCATTAATCCTCCCTGTCACTATAATTAGTCTATCCTTTTACAGACAGCTGAATCATACTTTCTAATGCATGGAAATGTATACAGACCAGTACTCCTGCTAAGAGTAGACCTAATTATGCCTTGATCTGTCATTAAAATATTATTTGGACATTTGGATCTTGCATGGATTCCAGTACTAGGAAAAATCTAAATTAAAAACACAAATTCAGTGGAGAAGTTAATCTTGCTCTAACAGACCGGTGAAGGGAATGCAGCAGAAAAATCAACTTCTGGGAGTAGACTTGGGGAAGACCGCACTGCTTTTCTTTTTTTTGTTAGGTATATTCTGTTGGTAGAAAAGATAATTTCATGGGACGTTTGTGGACCAATTTCACCTTTTGTCTGGAAAGCAGCAAAGGGGACAGAGGCAACTGTTCGTAATTCTTATGCACCACTTTTCCAGCTAGAATATGAGCACATTTCTGGGCATTTTGAAGTTGTGTTAGGACTGGGGCAGTGAAGCTGTACCTCCAGTTCAGAACTGGCCAACGAGCCCTCTTGAAATGCTGCATTCTGCCTTACTCTTTCAAAGAGAGACAAAATGTAGCAGGATAAGGATATATCCAGAAATGCCTGTGCTCAATCATAGCAGGACAGAAACATGCAAGCCCCAGTGAACATTCCACTGCTGTGGAAGTTTTCCCGCAGTATCCCTCAATGCTCTCCTGCCAGGGTTTGCTTCCTCCTCTTCCCCAAAAGGGGAATCAAAAGTATTTCAACATGCAAGTTTAGGCAGGCACCATCTCTTCAGGGCTTGCTGGACTTGGCATAATAAGTCACAATCTAACCCCTAGACATCACTTTGAACTCTCATGGCATCAAAGGGAATGTAACAAACCATGACAAGCAACTTGAAAGGAGAACAGGCCAGAAAATGACAATTGCATTTCATGACAATCTCAAGGTTTCAAATTTTATTTGTTTGTTTGTTCTGCTCTGGAATGAAACAGAAAATCCCCCATCTTATTGAACATTTTCACAAAACAGAATGCGTTGAAAGGTATTTTCAGATGAGAAAGGTCAGGTTTATAATTCACTGTCTCTCAGTGACTGTTGGTCTTCCCTTGAGCTCAGAAACCAGTCCTTTAAAAATACTTGCACTTTGGCAAAACGGAATTTCTCAGGGGAGAGCCTTTCATTCAAGATAGTACTATTATTTCCATTTAAAATAGTTCTAATAGTTTCAAACAATTTTAATTGCTACTTTTATTTTTAAATCCCATTTTGCATTTTTCAGTGTCAATACTGTCTGACGGTTACAGAGCAATGTACTAGTTCAAAGCTTTTCTCCTGAGAAAATTCCTTTCTCTGGAGTGAACTGGAAAACACCTTTCAGAGACACCTTTTCATAGCATTCCAGAAGTTTGCTTCCATGCATTTTCAATAACCAAATAAACCAGTGCCCAACACTTCACACCAGATTATATAATGCAACTACTGAAACTTGGTGTGGATCACTTTTATCTTTGAGCTCAGGTTGAGTAGATTTCAGGGCAGTGGAGGCAAGCAATAAAATGGTTGAGGGTTTATTTGAAGACTGAGGCAGCATAATAATTCAAGAATATTCCAGTGTACTGAGACATGACAGATGTCTCAATAAATATAGCCAAATGGCACTGTTTTTGAGTTCTTCTCCTTAACTTTTTCCAGTAGGCAATTGTTTTTTCCCTAAAGCTCTCACCAGCAGAGAGAAGCAACAGAGACAGCAGTTCAAGTGAGAGAAGTGACTGGAAGACCTACCTAAGAAGGTAATTGACCCAGATGATGTTCTTCTCACTTGCGTTCTTGGCGTTGACAGCTATGGTTGCACTAGACTGTATCCAGATATAACCTCCGTTCTTCTGCATCCAGCGGTAATACTTTGTTACACATTGACCCTTATTCAGCACTGGCAAAAAATACAAACAAAACAGAAGCATGATACAGTGCATTTTAGAACGGCAGTAAAATGATCTTCATTGTACAACACGTCACAAGTATGAGCAGAGGATACTTGGCTTCCTTTAGGTTTGATGCGACATGCCAGTGAGATGACAAACAGGATCTGAAGTTCAGCATAACTAGCTGTATGTTTTACAAGTTTTTAAAGTATAATTTTAATCTGGTTTTGGAAACTCTAGTGGAAGAAGAAAAGTAAAAAGAACTACAAATCTATTTGGTTCACAGAATACTTATTGCTGTGTGGACATTTTCAATGCACTCAATGTCAAACTGTAAAAAAAAGAAAAGGAAAAAAAGAGGCAAATTTATATGTGATTTATTCATAGCTCCTAGGTAGACCTCTTTGAGATTCTGGATATTTGAAAGGTTTGGGAAGATACTCTACCCCTGCTGCTTTGATCATTTCTCCTTATTGCAGGCGATATCAACCACTGAACTTATACATCTGTTTCTTTGATCTTGTCAAACAGAATTTACAGTTCTCAGATGAACCAAATCTCCACTGGTCAGTGGGGGGAAGGTCTTGGGAGAATTTACTTTCTACCAGAGCAAAGTAAATCCACCAACAGACTGAGAAAGAGGCCTAAGGGAGGCACAGAATGGCTTGGTTAGAGCCAAAGAGTTACAGCTCTCTCCAATGTTTGAAATATGCTAGGAAACAGAAACAAGTAAAAGCAATCAGTAATGTGAAACGGTGTTATTAAATGCTCAAAGCAAGAAGGCTTAAAAATACAGATGTTTAAAGTAATATTTCAGCCAAAATATTGCCAAGTTGAAGCTAATTTGGCTTGTATCTGAGGCTTCAGTGTCAGGAGAAGGGGATGAAATGCAAATCTTTCAGTGGAAGCAGCAGCATGGTTTTAAAGAAAACCTAAACTATACAAAATCTGGGTACTATTGTTACTGGAACACTTACTCTCCTCTGCACTTCTCACTAATCCCATGAAGCTTTGTGCACTAGAGGGCAGTGTGCATTCATATACACCTTCTGCTTTTGTCATGTCCTTGTCTCCGTCTGCTAAAATGAAAAACCTCTAACTGCTGTAATAAATTTGGCTAAATTAGCTGCTAAATGGTTATCTCAAGTAATATGTATTTGCATTAATCATCTTGCTCTAAACCAGAACAAGCCAGAGTCCTAAAGACGTAGTAAATTCATATTGTCCATTTAATTACGGCTAATAAGTGCTTCATATACAATAGTTTCATGAAGTACATTTTGATTTTTTTTTTGTAGAGGGAAAAGAAAAAAGTCACTTTGGAAAAGAATAAGTATTTAAGGCAGTTAAAGTTCCTACCATAAATGTGACAAACGACACTTTGGAGCTTTCAAGTTAACCAAATGTCTATACCCCTAATTATGCATATGAATGTATCTATATCTAAATCCGTGTACAACAGATATCTACAGAAAAAGATATTTACGAAGGCAGCCATACAAACACAGGTGCTTTCTTTCTTTTTCTTACCTTGGAGGGATCCCCCAATCCCCACTCCCATTTTTCAAATACTGAATAAAAAAATGCATGTAAAAGAGTGCAATGTAAAGTGAATATAAAGTGCAAGTTAGGTTCAGCTGCAACATGAACAAATATTTGTGATCTGGGTCCTGTTGTTTTTCAGCAATCTCTAGTTAACTAGGTTTGTTTCTAGCAGAGATGTATAAGTTTCCCTAAATTTTTACTTTTGTATTCCAAGCTCTAAATATTCTGCTATGATAATTCATTGGCTTCAAAACCTCATTATACAGGAGAATAAAGATAAAATATGAACAACAGCATTTATGTCAAACCAATGTTGTATGCCACTTTAGAAAACAATCTCACATAAATTAGCCCAACTTTATCAGTTATGAAGAATAAGGGGAAAAAAAATGCTGTTGCAAGTTTTGGTCATGGTAGACTTTTCCATTTCAGTAAAATAGGACATTCAAAATACTCTGCTTACAGCTGACAGTCAAACTGATATGCCTGGAAGTCTGGAGTGATAGTGGCTCCTTTCTGGAAACCTGAACACCCACAGGTTTGTGCAGAAACTAGTAAAATCTGTCCACACTTGTATCTACTAAATGTACTGTCATCTTCTTTACAAGAGTTTTTATCTGAAGAGATTACCATGCTATACAAATACCAAAGTATGAATCCTCATAGCTGCCCACATGCATATTTGGAAGTCAAGGTATCAGGTGAGTCAGTGATGAAGAGCACACTGTAATTCTGCATACTGGTAGCTATGAGGACCCAGATCCTTCATCTCTTTCAGTCCATTTCATCCTAGACAAGTCCTTCGTCCTTCAGCACCTTTTCTATTGGTTGTTGCACCACTGGAAAAGTCAGTGTCATGAGCTGAATAGAGCATTAATTTCAAAACTATGGAATAAAGGGTGAAATCAAAACCTGATAAGTTATTTCTGAAGGAAAAGGTGCTTGCTGTTTCAAGAAAGAGAATTCAGTGCCTCAGAGTCTCATACAAACCATCTACAGTCAGTTCAGGTTCTCAAATTACTATACATCCAAAGAATATTTGAAATACTGTCTTGAAAGTCAGCTTTCCATGAAGTTCATCTACCTGCAAATTCCCACTCCCTATTTGGCCAGCCCAGATATATTACCACATACACAGGATTTTACTTCCTGCATCTGTCTAAAGCACGTTTCATATGAGAGATTTGTGGACCGCACTCTGAAGGAAGTCGCACGATTCAATATAAAAATTCTCTCTGTAAAGAGATTCTCTGGCAGACCAGCTGTGCTGTGCTGCTAAATCTGGTTCTTACATCCTTTGAGAGTGAACTAGGCACCCCCAAGCCAGTTCTGAAAGCTCATACTATAGCTAGGGAAGAAATTTCTCAATGTGATGAAAGAAAGAATGAAAAAAAAAAAAGAAATATTTTCTAATTTACAGTGTTTTTTAACTGTTAACATTGCCAAGCTGAAACTTAAAAATTAGATGAGAATTTTGAGAAAACAAGCAACTAGAAGGACACATCAGGAAGGGAAATCTATCTGGTTTATTGATAACCTAGTGTTACTGCGTAAAACCCAGATTCATTTTGAGGTTCTTCAGTTTGCAGGTACAGGGAGTCCATTAATAAAGTTAATGACTTTGAGAAGAAATGAAAGTAAAGAATTAGTTCACCCTAAGACCTGTTTGTGAAGTTATGTTTTGTTACTAGCAACAGACCGCGCATTTCAACTTAGCATAAACTTTTGAAAAAGTAATGCCATGTGGACCACATACTGAACTTATTCAGATTGTACTTAAGGCAAATCCCATACTGAGAATCAGCGTTCAGCTCTCTATTTTTGCACACTGAAAAATGCGAAGAGTTTTAAATTTCTATTTGTATTACACATGGAGTATCCAGTCCGGCAGACAATGCAGTATAGGGGAAGGTGAGACTTGTGACCACATCAGTGGGATGGCTTGTGTGACTGAAGTCACACAGGATTATGCAGGACAGGGTGTATCAGTCCATTTATAAGAATAGCAGGGGAGGTGACTTCTCTTACAGGCTTAGTTTCTTCTGCTAACCAATGCATAAGTCTCCAAAGTGTTAATGGGAGTTACACGTTTAAAAGAAAGAGGAAAAAAAAGGCCTTGTTACTAAGCCATATTGTGTGGAAATACAGAGAAATCTTTCTAACACTGGATTTCAGCTTAATGGCTGTCAGGAAAAATCTTTTCAGTGAGTCTAACTGTAAACAGGAGAATGAAACAAATCTTAAATACGAAGAATAGGATGACAAATATAATTATATATACATACACAATTATATAAAACCCTTTAATCAAAAGGAATAACTGAGGGTTAATGTTTTAAAACTGGTGACCTTTACATTAACTGCACAGATATATTCCCTAAAACAGTGCATGCTAAACTTTACTAAAATTTGCTGAAATGTTACCGAGTTACTCAATTTGAATTCAGTGGTTAGCATGCAAGAAATGCACAGTATGTCATCCTAAGAACTAAAAAAAATAATCTCACTTATTTCTCAAAGTATGATTATATTGCTATGTACACAGTTCCCAACAGAGGGATTTCAGTTTTCCTTGGTAGCTTTGCGCACAGCAATATTCTTGTAGCAGTGGAGTGAAGGAGGGGGGGAGAAGAAGAAACAGTTAGTGTTCTTTGCAGGAACCTATTTCTGTTAGAAAATCAAAATAAATCAGTACAAGTTTGTCTTCAGAAATATGGTTACAAAAAGAAAAAGAACGTAGTTTCTTCCTGTAAGGCTGTTCTGAGAAATCAAAGCCAAAGCTTCTAAATAGTGAGTTGTGTTTTAAAAGAAGGAAGTAGCTTAATTCAGTTTGAAGAGGAGATGAAGAAATTGTGTATCAAAAGCAGTCTTTTAGCAGAGTCTCTTACAAAAGGACATTTTACTCATGTGCATATGCAGTTAAAAGCTACACTATATTGCGTATTCAGGTAAGTATTGAGTAAATAGGAAATGATGAGATCATCTTACATATTCACACAGCTTCACAAAGAGGCTCTTTATAATTGGTGAAAATATTGAGGTTACATCTGCTGTGCTATTCACCCTTCTCCTTGAAATACCTTTATCAATGACTGGACGGTATTGATACTGAATTCCCCTTGTGATAAACTTATAAGAATATTTTTAATTTACTGCATGAGGATGAAAATGCCATACTTAATACCATAGTCGGATACTTAGCTGCAGCCACAAGTACTCTTTCTACATTCACAAAACTGGCAGACGAAACATGAAAAGGAATACTGACTCTTTAATCTCCTCTTCTCCACCTAAGGCCCAAGGCAAGCTGACAGGGTAACTTCGTTCTGGAAACAGAAGGTTTTTTATTTTTTTTAATTCTGGATTACTTTTTCTTTTGCTTTTGAAAACTGCGGGCTATAGGGGAATGAACCTGGCATAGACTTAAAACAAGAACAAGTTTCTTTATCTGAAAAGTTACAGT